ACAAGAACATAAAGAACGAATACCAGGTGTTTGCCGGCCAAATTTACGACTTTATTTGTTCCGCTATTGTGAGCATAAGTAAGAGTCGTCAAGTTAAGTGTAAAAAAAAAACATTCATTAAATGAATACATACATATACATATTTCCTATACACATTCATATATATATGCATATACAGAGCATAAGTAAATTAAGATTCGGAAAGCATTCCTTAAAAGAAACTATATATGTATACTACATATTCATGTATATATGTATGCAAACAAATATATATATCTGTAGACTTATCTGTAGATTTATATCAGAAAACATACGCTTGTAGATTCCATTTCATTCATTACTTATTGCGGGACTACAGTTACCTGCAACCGGTACTGGTTCAGTTCAATGAAAAAAATCACGCCTTCTCTCTAACCAATAAGATGATATCTTAAAAGTTGGAAGAAAAGAAAGCCGTTGCAGTAAACAGCTGGAAATAATGCGCCACAGACGAATGCATTGTTTATCATTTACGGAAAAAGTGTTATTGCATTGTCGTATAGACATTGCAAGTCAACTCTAAGTAATCCGTTAGAAGCTTATAAGTTTTCTCTATTTTTTCATCTAAAAAAAATTCCAAACAAGAGCAAGAGGAAATAATATCTCACTGAAAACCCATCTAATTTAGAATTCAGTGAAGGATTAGGTTCTTAAGTTAAGAAACGTTCAATTAATGATCTTAGTCTTGGGCTAATACACGCTGAAATCGAATCAGATATTGTATTCAAGTATTTCAACTTGAGCTATCAATTTCGTGTAATAGTAAGCATGAAAGGGCATATTTCAGTCTATTTAAAACTTACTCACTCCAAAAGGTTTCCTATTCTTCTTCTTCTTCTTCATCTAGGAGTTATCAACTCGACAACGGATGATTCAATGTGCTTTGCAGAAGAGAAAATTAATATGCCTTAAGTATATAAATTAAAGCAATAACCCATTCCCCCGATAAATAAGTTCAATGCTTTAGTTAAACACTTAAGCGAAGGAACGACAATATGGAGCGGTTTTATTCTAATATTGTAGTCCTTTTAAGCGCATTAATGTTAAAGTTCGTACGGTAAGCGCCGACGATAACTAGGGGAATATTTTAACAACAACTGATCACGGTCTGCCACCAATTACCTCATATCGCTTTGCTTAATACAGTTATTCGTGTAATGGTTTTTTTTTAAACGAGGCCTTTTATTGAAAGTGGTCGAACGAGTTGTCCAATCCGAATCATTTTCAATAGCGTTCGCGCTTTTATCAAAATATCTTAACAGATGCGATCTAAGAAAGCAACCCGGACGGATGGACAGATAAGCTTAAATCGATTTGGAAACAAATTGTGAATCAATCAGTATAATAGAAGATGAGATTACGTCAAGTCGTTTTGGGTGTTGCATACATCCGCACAAACTGAATATGTCTTTGCATCACAACTGGTATAATGCGAATAATACGAATCCATGATTTTATATCATTACGCGATAGCGTAAATAGTGACCAGCTATTTTTAAGACAAATTGAATAGAAGGAACAAGATCCATCTTATAGTTATCGATAACTCGAGTAAACGCGATCGCGAGTTTAATATGTACGAGTAATGTAATCTTGACGGGAACTAACGAGTTTACTCGATATCCATAGTCCCATATCGGTTCTATGTTATGAACAGGATGTTTCAAATAAAAATTTGATACTTGAAGCAAAGGAAGTCCGGGAGTCTGGAAAGTGCTTTTAAAGCAAACAAGTTGTGTATTTGATCATGAGAATGACGTGAACGGGGAGAAACTTTAGGTGATGATATTGACACTGAGAAATGCTTAGGGATCATTAAATGAATAGTTTTTCGTCTTATATGCTTCCTACACTCTACCAATTGTTCGAATTCATTGAATTATTCGTATGCTAAACTGTTTTATGCATCGTTTGGTATTTTGGTGTATAAAGGAAATGTTTCTTAGAAAAAGTTACTTTTCAGTTGAAGGTAACAGACGTCAAGGCATCAAAGCATCTACAATTACCGTAGATATGCAAACGTGCATGTATTTGTTAAACAAAATGCATTCTTGGTATGAAGAATTAATTTCGAGTATATTCGGAATTTTCGTTTCATAGAATTGGAACGTGTTTGGCAAAAGGGGCTGCTCGTCTCGGATAGAAGTGAATTTAAGTGAATTTTTTTTAGCAATAAACACATTTCCAATCTTAACCTAGAGTATTATCACGAAGAACTTATGGGGACGAGCTTATCGGATAGCTGCCTCTTGCAAAGTCTTTAAAACACCTGATAAATTTTCTCATTGGCTTTCGTTAAACTTTCTTCTTCGTTTATAGAAACTTTTTGGATGAAGCAAAAGAAAAAGAAAAAAACAAAAAAAAAAAAAAAATGCAATATTTCTGATATATTTCTACTTATTGTTTGCTCTTCTTTTGCTTTTTAACGGGAAAATCGCAAGTTCTAAGTTTTCTTCTATTTTAGCTTGCTAAAGCTTCTTTTCTTTTCACTTAACACGAATTACAAACAAGTTTAATATTTAATGTCTTGCTTTTCTTTTTCATTTTTACTTCTTCTTCTTCTTCTTCTTCTTCTCCTTTTGCTCTTTTTTGTATTTTTGTTTTGTTTTTTTTTTGTTTTTTTTGTTTTTTTTGTTTTTTTTTTGTTTTAAATTTATGTAAAAATTATTATTAGAAATCGAATTTTTTTTAACGTTTCTTACCGTTATTGAAGTATTTACAAAAGGAATCCCAACGTATATATTTTTCTTCTTACAAATTTTTTTCTGTGCTTGTATGTACTCAGTATTAAAATTAATTATCATTTATACATCGAATATCAAATTCCTTCCTTTCGGTTTTCGGTTTTCAGTTTTCGTATCGGTTTGCCCAATGAGTTACGACATACTTTTTATCCTTATCCTTATTATTATTATTATTATTATTATTATTACTATATATATTTATATCCACCATTTAGAAGTTAGTTATCCCGCGATATATATACGCTTAAGTGATTTTTCTTAAGCTGATAAATTCTCGAATAACGAAAAGTCTCGAATCAAATCGGCCATTGGGGAGTTCGTCACCTTTCTATGAATTTTTTTTTTCCTTTTTAATGATTTTTTGTCCATCCGTCTGTTTCTTATTAGGACTACCGATTGCCTGAAATGTATTAAAAATGCACTTTAAAAGTGCATTTCCAGCTCACATGGATTTCTGTGTAAACAATATTAGCAGTGAAATGAATGTGCAGCTTTGCCAAACTGATAGATAAATATAGTATATAAGTTGACCGATTGCGTTTCATGTACTATGTGTAGCATATCAATATATATATACACATATATATATATATATATATATAGGAAACATAATACGAGTTGTTGAACATGAACAAGCTGTACATGAAGTAAGCTGTACATACAAGTATATTCTTGCGGTGAAATATCTTGCAACATTGATAGGCTTTGCAAAATATTATCGTGATATTACCGGGAATATGGTAAGAGCACATTATTTGAATCGCATATGAGATAACATTCTAGCCAATACATTTGTAAACTAACAAGGAAAATAAATTATAGGGAAGAAGCGTTTTCAGTTCATTCTAGCTCCGTTTGTATAAGTCTTGGACTAATTGTGATCTTAAAGTTTACTAAGAAGACTCTTCGCAAAGAGCTGATAAGACTGTTTGTTTCTTACCACGTACTAGAACATTATTAGTGGACTGATTGCAATTTCTCTTTGATCCTTGCCTGGGATATATGACGAGATAATATTTCGCTAAACGGATGCAAAGTGGGACGGGGAGAGTAACTTGGGCATGCTTTTCATGTGCTTATCCGTTTTCCCTCTCCCATAGAATAGAATGATTAGTTAATTCTCATATATGTATATATGTACATATGCTGGCAGGCGGACAAGTTTTACCTTACACTCAACTCCTCTCCTGCCTCTGCTAGTAGGCAAACCATCTTTGAAGCTTTTAGGCATAAGAGTCTTCGCTTATAATATTGGATTACTGTTGAGATTGCAGTAGCTATGGCAACTATAACCATTTTCGTGGAAATTTGAATTTCTGGCTTGTTTTCACAAAACTATTTTCAATGTTATCTTAAACGTGCCCCTCATCAAAAACAAAAAAAAAAAAAACTTTTAAAAATTGGAAAGATTTCTACTTTAAGGGGATGTAACATAATTGATTTGAGATTTGGTATAATCTCTATATATAGTAAGTAATATCTATATATGTACATATACATATATATAGTAAGTCTATCGAAAAGGTCCGTCCGCTCCGTTTACAACAAGTTTTAACATGTATGCGCATATATTGCTCGCCCTTTTTATGTGAAATCTTATTTTTCTGATAATTAACGCTCTGGTCGACCGTGTTTGTTCGACGACGATACTGTCACAATTATGCTGGAGCAAAATACTTTTTTGACAACGTCGAAGATTGCGGAAAGGCTTGATTCCGCGCAGCAAACCATTTCAGATTATATTCGGAAATCCCATATGTACGTACGTATGTATGTATGTATGTATTTAAGTATGTACATGCTATCGAAATATTTGTGTTAAAATGGTATGAAAGGATTGGGTGATGTGCCCATCATAGGCCGAATCGTTTCCGAACGTACCCTTAGATGGTGGATAAGAAAAATTCAAGCCATAATTTACGCAACATTCTCGTGTGTATATTGTGTTTCATTGAATTCTTTTTTATATGAATAAGCAAACATTTATTTTACGTTCTCTTCTTAACTTTAATAATATATTAGTTAATGTAATGTTGTTTAGTTGTTTATGAAAAAAGAAAGTTTCATTATTCTAAGTATAATCTCTAAAATCATTTACAATGTAGTTGTTGTTGTTTGGTTTTTTTTTTTTTTTTTTTTTAATTTATTTCATGTATTTATTTATTCATTTATTCATTATTATTATTATTATTTACTTATTTTTTTTTTTTTTCTTTTGTTAATTTAATTTAATTTAATTTAATTTTTCATTCAGTTCGTTTTGTCTTTTACGGCTGTTATGGTTGCCGTATGTGGTTTCTTTACATTCCGAAATTACTTTTTGGTTGGGTTGGTTAGTTGGCTGGTTTTTGTTTTTCTTTCTGTATATGTGTGTGTTTGTATGTGTGTGTGTGTGTGTTTGCGTGTTTGTGTGTTTGTGTTTGTTTTATTGCTTATATTCAAAAACCATTTAATGGTTATGTTACGGGCAATTCAAGATTTGTTCGATGCCCTAGTAAACAGGGTTGCGTCCGTTTAGTATCAAAGCAATTACTGTTACTGTTACGTTGTTGTTTGTCTAAATGGTTTTGCTGTAGTTGTTGCCGTTGCCGTTGCCGTTGTCGTTGTCGTTGCCGTTGCCGTTGCCGTTTAATGGTTATTATACTTTTAATGGTCCCCTTGCGCCAACGTATACGTTGTAGTAAATTGCTTTGTTGACGATAATAATGTAATGTCAGTATACCGAATGTTAGACCAAGCATCAAAAGACAAGAGGGTACTTGCAACTGAATCGCACCACCATGATGCATAGCCGCAGGATGTTCACCTGTAATTGTTTATAAAAGAGAAAAGAATTTTGTTTATTTTGTAAATAAATAATGTATCTCTGAAAGGGTTGTGTTTGCTTAGATTACTTCGTATTTTATACTTTGTTTATATATCATTTTAGTTTATTTGTTGTTTGCTTGTATTGCTTTGTGCTTCACTTTCGAACCAAATACATATTTTTTTATAAAAATTTTCATTTGATTTTCTCATGTATAAGAGTTTTATTTTTTCATCCTCTCATTTCTCCTCTCATTCTTGACGAAGAATATCAAACATGAGAACACAATTTTTTCAATTAAAATTTTTAATTAAAATTTTGATTTTTTTTTTTTTTTTGGACTTTTCCTTCCGTTCAAAGGCTAAACATATCATTGCAGCAGTTACAGATATCAGGAAAAGCTGTGTAAAAAAATAATTGTTATCGATTTCTCTTAAGTTTTTCAAAATCTCGTAGGCCACATATAAATAAGTACTTAGTTGACGTTAAATGCCTTCTGGCAGTCGATAAATGATTCCATTATTTTAAAATGAGTAACCGATAGCTTTTCAATAAGGTTAGAAACTTTCTATTAAATGCACCTATCATCGCTGTCAGGATGAATACAATTTTGATTACATTCAAAAATTTCAGTAAAATATGGTATATAAATGTTGTTTCCGTTTCAGGATATATATTTATCATAACATCATTAATTCCCGGATTTAAGTAAGAAAATTGTGTTTTCATATTGCCGGTCAAACATTCAAAATTTACTTCCGCTTCTCTAATTGTCTCGTCATCAACTTTTCATTTACCTTAAATCCTTCTCTCTGAAGCATTCGCTTGAGACATGAAATATGAAAAATAGTTACCCAATCACCGGTCACCAGTCACGTCTGAAGTGAGTGGGGGTTGGCCAGCAATTCACACTCTTACTATGATAGCCTTCATGTATTTTGCCATCTTGGCATCATATCTGGCTTGCCTGTTTTTCAGTACTAGCGCTAGACTCTTTGTGACTCGAAAATTATCATTTATTGCTTTCTTCGCTTCTCGCTTTTCGCTCTTTTTCTTTTTTTTTTTGTTTTTTTTTTTTTTTTTTTTTGCTTTCTCCAATGCCTTCTCATGCTAGGATTCATATGATCTAAACAAATTTGTATTTACTCTGCTACAACTGCTTATGAATAATTGTCTCTTACGAATCTTGTGATTCTCTTCCTTCCTTCGTTGCGAGCGGAAAAAACAAAAGTCACCCAATCTAATATACGTTGCTTCGAATGGCGGCTACTATGACACTAGGAGGCTACCTGCCTTAAGGCATACTTGGGGAGAGGTTCAAATTTCAATCGTGGCAGGTGTACATACTTGCACTCATTATCGATGGTAATTGTGCCTTTTCGCTAATGAAACGAACAAACAAATCTAAGAATTCCTTCTGCTTTCCTATACAAAAACAAAGATACCCAACTGTTGTGTACGCCACGGAATTCGCGGAACACGTAAAAGCAAATCTTTACTCAACTTTGAATTTTCACACAGTTTGCGGTAATCAGTTGATGATTTGGATAAATGCCACAATTTTGCTCGTTAGCGAACCTGACTGCGATAAGAGTTGATTTCTTTTTATTAGGAGGGCAGATATAATCAGTTTCCGAGAATTGAATACTCATTTCCATCGAAACGTTCTTTGTGTGTTCGGATGCAATAAAGTGTAAACTGCGGGAAATATTCATCTATGTCCTCTATACGTGCAGGCACCATGGCGTTTACGAAAACCGGTACGTAGAGGAGTGCGGAGAGAAAGAGTTGTGTTTCTGAGCATGCGATGTGAACGTGAGAACATCTTGAGTAGCAAAAAAGACCACCGCCGGCGCATTATTCCATATGCAAGTTCCGCGGTTAAAGAACAAACATTCACGATAACGTATCATGTAATTTATGGACAAGTTTTACGACAAATGGGTGAGAGTGTCGAGCAGCTGAATAGTTTGATTGGCGGACAGAACTCTTTTAATTTTATAGAGCACTATACAGTTTTTTTGCATTTCCGTAGAACACTTGCCGTGCATGTATTTAAACATAAGCACATCCCCGTTATCCACTGCTCAAAAGTGTCGAAGGTGTTTGATGCACTTTGGTAGCATATGTGTACATGATCCCCCCGTTGTATGCGGTCGATTATCTCAAAACACATCTTGAAAGTCGGTGCACTCACATTATATTCTAATTTTTGAAAGTATATAAACGGTGTAAATAATGCGATAATTGACTGTGGTGAAGTATTTCTTGCACAGCGTAAATAAACCTACGCCCTTGACTCCTCCTTCCGACACTTTCAAGACGTGTTTTGTTTAGCTCACATCACTTTGTATTCTCATGACCTGAACATCAAGAGCTGCCCCGATTCTTCTACATTGACCGCATCAAAAGAGAGAGAGAGAGAGAGAGAGAGATAGAGAGAGACAAACGATATCACTGAGTATTGTTCGCATCGCTATTCAATCTGTTTAAGGTCTCGATATAGTGCGCAACGCATGATGGAGCGTTTACGGTTTACTTCGGTACTCTAAGATTTTTTGTTGACACAACGTGCTCGTTGGCGTCAGAGGAAAGTGTGGGGCTTTCTGTCACGCGCTGAAGATCGTTGATGAAGACCAGCGAGAGAAGCAAACAAAGAACACGCTCTTACATGCTCGACTATTTAAGGCAAAATCACTGAGCAGGATTTCCTCGATTAATTTTTAGAAATTTCATGTCCTGCCCTTGCTAGCAGTAAAAAAATATCCCTTTTCTATCGTTCCTGGAAATACCTTATAACTTCTTAATCGTCCTGCCAAGTTTCGACATTTGATTTAAGGGAACGTGTTCACTGCTTTTAAAAAGTGGATAACTTGAAATTTATTACAGTATAAATGGAGATTTATTTCAAAAACTTAAGAAGAAGAAGAATTAATTGAATTCTTATTGAATTGCAATTACATAAGAAATAATTATTTACGCGCATATAATAAGTTTTTTTTTGGGAAATCGTCAATTGATTCATTTACTTGAAGCCATACGCATCTCAAGTGAATCTTAACACTGAATCCCAGCTAATCAATGCGGTGGTATGCGAATCATGAAACCATTCGAATATTGCTTTCCTCCTTTAAAAAGAGAATGATTCTTGGCATGGATGAGATTGGTGCAGTCATCACTCTAGGCTTCAATTACAAAGTGAACTGGGCCCGTCAAAGTAGTTTATGTTACATCCGTTCACAAATTTGTGTTTCCGGCCGCCAAATTGAAATGGTTGTTATAGGTATGAATGAATGAATGAATGCTTAGCAGTTATGTAAACTTTTTTTGATCTCCTTCCACAATGCAAATCTCTTTTGTTTAGTGAACGAATTTGGCAAAGAGTTTGGAAAATCGTCTAAAAATTAAGGAATAGACTGAAGGAAAAGCATAAAATGATTCACTGGTTCCTCTTACTCTTACACTGTTGAGCATGTTTCTGCAGATATAGATGTACGGGTGTAAGGCATACATGCATGCATGAAATACGTAAACTGAAAATAATTAGCTTTTATATGGTAGAGATGTGAACTCTTTCTTTCAAAAAAAAAATAAAAATAAAAATAAATAAATAAATAAATAAATAATAACAATAATAATAAAGATAGTAGTAATAAAATAAGAAAGAGAAATTCTTTCGAAATTCATATAAATTCAAAAAAGCAATCAAAAACATAGTCTTTCCTATATATGAATGTATGTACGGCAAGCTTATGCGCGGGCATATATGATTAGGTTATATGTAAATTTTATAAATCATTTACGTCTCGTAACCTATAGCGATTGTTGTAATTTTTGTGATTGTATATAAGGGGAGAATGGTCGACATGAAAATAAAATTTATATTCACTTACCATCAACGATATGTACTCGAACTGTAGTCGGATTTGCATTTGAAGGCGTACACGTGTAAAAACCCGAGTCAGATTGTATGGCTTTCTGCACTAATAGACGACTCGTAGTTAATATACCTTTCTCAGTAACTAATGATATGCCGCCTCGTGGTGAATCGAAATTTATTACCTATTAAATAAGTAAGTAAATCATCATATTATATATGCTTGCGTGCATTTCGATTTTATATGAATCCTGACAGAGTAAAATGTAATATGTATTTCATATAGCAAAAGATTTTCTTATCATAAAGTAAATGAAAAGAAAGAAATTTTTATATTTTTTATTATCTCTTATTATATATAAAATAGGATATATTATGAAAATTAAAAAGAAAACATAAATACTAACATACACATACACATACGTTCATACATACACAAATCAGATAACTACAGATTACGGTAGCTTAGCAACAGCTATTACTCATAAGTCTTATGACTTATCTGTGTACATATATATATATATATATATATATATATATATATATATATATATATAAGTATTTGTTTGGCAACAGATTTAAAATTATGGCACAAAAAAAAAAAAAACAGATTTCTCATAAAATACTCCCAAGTGCAATAAATCCTTACATTAAATTATCTTTACGTACTTTTGCAAATTCTAACCAATTTACAATTCTTACCTAATTCGTAACAATAAGGCAATTAGCTTAACAGGCAAATACAAATGGCATGAAAATGATATAATATAAGTTAATGAAATATATATCTCGTCGTTCAAAGTTTCTTGTATATCAATGAACGCTAGAACGCATTGCTTTCACTCTCCTACTCTTAATTGCGTAGACTAAGAATTTTGATTGTTGACTTCTACCGGAACTTGGCCGAAAACTGAAGTTCACAGCTCTACACACTTCCCGTCCAGTTTCAACTAATCATAAGTGAAAGGCTGAATAAAAAAAAAAAAAAAAAAAAAACGCTTTAATCGTATATTTCGCAGCTTAATGTCTATTCCCTCTTGTTCGTTATTCGCCTCGTCTGAAATATCTCCATCGTCCAGGCAAACTATTCCTAATCAATCAAGATATACTTTTAATTATACGAATTGTTGAGCTCATCCTAATCGAAGAGACTAACTAATATTGTATATCAATCTGAATCAATTAATCGCTTACGGATATAGCAGCTTTGCCATTTCTTCACCGGTAGCTGGGTTTAAAACCATTAAGGACCAACTTACACCTTAGCCTAATTTACACCCTAAGTTAAAATGAATAAAAGATCTGAATAATAAATTGTTTAAAAGATGATAAAAGAAAAAAACAGCTCTGCAGTAGTGGTAGTCGACCTATTTCTCTCAAATATCATTGCTGCAGATATTTGCTTAAGATGAAATCTATCGTTCTAAGTAACCCAAACTGATTGTATAAATTTTTTAACTTTACAAGAAGAGCTACTTCATTGTCGATTTGATGGTTCTACAACCACCGATGCTCCTATAATTTCAAACATTTTTGCTAGGCTCGTTCAACACACCCTTACATTGATTAATGGTAATGGGGTCCGCCCACTTTACTTATCTGTATCAAATAAATAATTGTATATGTTTTCCGTAGAATAAATATTTCTGATAAGGCGAATAATGGCCGCAATGATCTCACGGACTTCATTGCTTTTTTGCGCTTCTATTCAGTCATTACTCGGAAACAAGCAAATTTCCTCTCTTTTGGAAGATTAGTTTTACTCTCTCCTAGAAAAGGGGTAGTATATGTGCTAATGAAAACTACAGATACATTGCTTATATGATGTAATGCATCAATCAAACAATTTTTACTTGAACATATTCTAGCTGCTCGAATCAGCCAAGCCATCACGACCATTATTTCTCTTTGCCAGTACGTACTTCTAAACGGCAAATCAGCTTTCACAAATCTTCTGAAATTGCCATTAAAGTAAAGAAATGCGGAAATGGACTGGTGTGTCTATCTGTGCGTCTGGCCATGCATCTGCACTCACTCCATATTATAGAGGATGAAAATTTAGTTTTTTTACTTTTTCTTACGATAGCACTGATGATGGGTTTAGAAGATTCTGGGAAACTGATTTTCTTCTTCGATATAATTACTGAATATGAATAAGTTTGCCGTTACTTCTATTTGACAAATAATTCTATTAGCATTGCAGTTACGTTCCGCTTGCAGAAATAAGAACTCTATAGCAATAGCGCATTGGTTTAATTCCCTTTTTTGTTCGCGCAGGTGACAGAGGATATATTGTTTCATTTATGACTACATATATATATATATATATACATATATATATTAATCATATTTTCATATTTATAAAAGTATTGACACTTACTTGTCGATTATGTGACCATATAACTGTAGGTGGTGGCTCCGGTGCAAACTTGACTATACAAGTTAAATTTATTGTGGAACCTTTATTAATGTGCAACTCTGGTCCTCCAATTATTTCTGTTACTGGTTCTTAAACATGTAAAAGAAAAAGAAGAGAAGAAAAAAAAAAAAAAAACAAATCACATTCTTAATCAGAAAACTTCAATGCGAATATAGTATGAAATATTTCGATATTTATTCATATTCATACCTTCATACATTCATACATTCATACATTCATACAATATTTTTGAAATTTTTCCATAAAAGATGCGTATACGGAGCTGCGGTATAAAGTAGATGGTCGAATACATGGTCGTAACTAACAGACGTTGAAAAGTATTTTATTACTGATAAATGAATGGCGCAAACATGAACACAAAGAAATTAAAAATGAATTTAGATGAAAATAAGAAATGGAACGAAGAAAAATTGCTTTAATGTTCTATACGATCGGGTTAAGTTGATAGTTTAGCGATGAAAAGAGCAAAACACTCCCTTCAATGGGATTTCGTAGCTATTTTTATATAGAGTGGAACGATTTAGGCTTAGGCTTAGTATGTATCGGCAATAATGTACAAAATGGAAATTGTTTAGCGAAAACTAATCTCGATCGATGGATGATCAAGTATACAAACATATTAATGCTGCCTATATAATATATATGCGCACTACATTTATAGGTTAAAGTGCGTTATTCTTCTTTTTTTTTTTTTTTTTTTTTTTTTTTTTTTTTTTTTTTGAAAAGCCTTTCACTGAATTTCTTCAAAATCAATATCAAACACACGCACCTAAGGCTGTATTTTTTCATGAATTGCCAAGAAAAACTTGATGAAACGTAAAGCAACTCAAAGCTTTTAGTAGATTTTCCTTTTTGCGAAATTTCTGCATTTATTGATAAACCAACTATTCCGAGAAACAAAAGATGATAGATATGCATTCATTTAAATACGAATGAATCGCCTATTGCTAATTGTATTATGGTTTCTCCTCTTCTTTGTAAAGCGCATTCTCGTAATATTGAAAACCTTGAAAAGTTCAGTGCAATGCTGAAAGAAGAACTTTTCGACTTAAGATGATACTCTCGCGGCGCTATGTCCAACCATTGTGATAAAATGGCAATCACTGTAGCATAACCATAAGCAATTAAAAGAGATATCGCCGATAGATTTGAGAGAGACCTCAAAGAGATTCGAAGGTGCGCATTTTTATGGCCGGCCAGTTAAGGTGACAATACACTGCATGCAGTTCGTGGTGAAATTCGGAAGGAAGTGAACACTTATCGTATGTATCGTTTACCGTATCTCTTAAGCGAATTCTGAATCGCTTATACGATATCCGTGATGGCGTCAACGGTGAAGCCATGAACACTCTAATAATCTCTTTCTAACGAATATTGTTTTCTTATTGACTTTCGGTTATTGTCAAATCTTTTTATCTATGCATTTGCATTATTCATGCACTTGGAACAAGAGATATGAAGAAAAAAAAAAAAAAAAAGGAAAAAGAAGAGAAAACATTAAATGACTACTAAATGGTAAGATGTGTACATTACTCACTCGATTAGATATGATCAGCTTATATGTTCCACATATCTTTAAATTTCTCATAAATTCTGTATGAGCTCGAAACAAACCAATTACTGCAAGTATATAGCATTGTATACTTACATGCATACAATACATATGTATTTGTATGTGCATTCATATAGATAGATATGTATGAGATGTAATTCATTTGATATTAACGCAATTTTCTTCATAACTTGCAATAAAAAAAAAAGAAAAAAAAAAATAAAAATTTTTTTTTTTTTTTTTTTTCTTTTTTTGCTCTTTTATACAATAAAAAAAAAAAAAAACAAAAGAAAATGAAAAGATTATAAATTTATTATTTATGGAATGTGTTATCTCAGATAACATCTATCTATAAGCAACGTACTGCAAAAGCTTTTTTTTTTCCTTTTTTTTTTTTTTTTTCATTCCTTTCTAATGAAATGGCGCATCCTTTCTTATTATTGTTGTGTGCTTTTATTAATAATGTTCGAAATTTATGACATTTGATTATAAATGTTAAACTATTCCTTAAGATGATTTATCGCATCTTTCAAGCCAAATAATTGGGAAAATTTTTATTCAGTCATTTAATGCATTGTTCATTTATGATTTTGTTTTTTTTTTTTTTTAATAACACAACATACAACAACATTCATTAAATAACTTAAATTCATTGTAGAAGTAGATGTAGAAGCAGAAGTAGAAGTAATTGCAGTCTGATGTCAAGCAGCAACAAAAGGTAAAACCGATTCTTCTTATTGCAAATTCTTTCTCTTAATAAATAATTACTACACACATATATAAAACAAAACATGTATTACTCAGCACATATTTGCTCTGAGGTATTTGTGGACTCGAATTATGTGTGTATATATATATATATATATATATATATATTATCTGTAGGTGTGTTTCCGATTAGAATTGTGTTAAACCGATGTATAATGCTTTGCATCAAGTGGCAGCAGAAGTATCGGCTAATACCACTTGTAGCGTAAGGGTATAAAAAGCTTGTGACCGCATATCCGTTAAGAACGGTTGTTGGCCGATGACCTTCGAAAAGGCCGTCGTCTTTCAGATCTGCCATACAAGCGTAGATCTGTACGCAAGTGTTGGGAAGGGCGCGCAACTAGTGCTTAGCCAAGTACGATTAGCCAATCGATATTCTCGAGAAAGAAGAGTTCATAACCTCCACGCAATTGTTAGCCAACTCAGTCATATGCTCTACTCATGCACAACAATTGTGCGAAAATGCGACTGAATTAGTATTGCATTCACATCATATTTTGTGGAGAAAATTTTTTATTTTCACTCTTTTTTTTATTTTCGCATTCATTTTGAACTCGATGCGAATTCATCCGTAACTCCTGACTTGGGTTGGATACGTTACATGATACATAACGACCGGGGGAGGGTGGGGAGTTTAATTGCACAAATACTGGCTACGAGCCAAACGAATTTTATAAGAATTATTTGACAAGCTTCACAGTTTTTGTGATTAGGCCAACTTGTCAACTTGACTTCAAATTTTGAGAAATATATCAAATTATATATAATTGTATATATATATATATATATATATATGTACTCCCATATACAAACGCACTCATTGCAAATATGCATTAATTTCAAGACATTTTTAAACGTTAACATCATTATTAGTATATACTGCACTAGATAATACTATGGCCATAACCATTGCGGAGGAAGGGGAAACTAGAACGTTTTCTCAAAATCACAACTCAAAAATTTGCAAAGATTTGACAAATTAATTCAATTATTATCGTAAATGCCTTAACTGTATGCAAAAATATTCCGAAGGAAGAAAAAAAAAAAAAACATTGGCAGCATTTAGTGAGTTGCGCCGTTACCTGCAAGTACTGAACTTTGAGTTTGAAAAGGATATCCGTTCAGTTGAACGCTCGGAATGTAAGTTGAATGAATTTTTGAGAACTGAGAGTTATTTGAAAGCAATAAGCGGTTTCTCAAGGATTATTTGTTCCGAGAGCAGAACGCTAACCAGATGGAATACAGCAAAAAATGGTGGCTCAAGTCATTGCATTAAAGCGTGATACTAATCTTAAAAATAAAAAATAAAATAAAAAAAAAATACATATATATATATATATATATATATATATCTATATATATATATTATATGTTATATTATATGTAATATAATATAATAAAATAAAATAGTAATAATAATATTAAAAGTTTAAAGGAAAAATTGATAAATTATATAAACTCCGTGAAAACAATACCGTAAGATTTTACGCGTATGGACAATTTACGTGATGGCGGTAAGCTTTATATGTATAGTTCGTGTGGTGTCAGGATGGAAAACGCAATACTTAACAATTTTAGCTAATAAAATAGACATAGAGTAACGTAGTAGACATTATAATAAATAAATGTATGTATAAATGTTCCATGAAAAATGATATAACAAAAATACTTCATTCGAATATCATCGTGCCATCCATCAACAAGTATAACTTTTTGACAAATTAAAGTCTAAAAGTAGTTTTGATATTGTTTTCACATAAACTTTTGACATCTACCACAACTGTGTGCTTGTAAATTTGTCTCTGCAAACACCTAAGATATGTTTCAATTAAGGAAGTCCCAAATATGTCAAATTTTGTAAGCAGAACGCATATGCAGAGACAAAGATATGGGCTTGTATGCGCCCGCACAAGCACAAAATGCATTAAAAATCCATTAAATAATAAAATTGAAGATCTTATGTTATGCTTAAGTTATGCATAAGAGCTGACAATAATAAATGAGAAATAGCAGCAATGTGATGTGACTTGGTCCGAGTCTTTGGATAGGAGATGCTTGCCCGATTTTATTTATTTATGCACTGAGCTTTTCATAGTAATACCGTAAACTTAACATGCTAACCTAGGATAAGCATCGATTGGCGCAGATAAAGTGCAGCCTCTTAGAGAGGGTATCTCAGAATAAACTGACACTTGAACCTAATTCGTATTCAATTTTCGAAGACGATATAATATCTTTTATGGCTTTAATTTAATAGTGTGGGCGTGCTGACATGTTCATATGGCGGCAAAGCTAAACGATTGCAAAAAGAAATATTTAAGGCTTGCATTACTGTCAGTTCTACCCTAATTAGGGTGGTGGTCGATAAGGTCACGTTTGAGCAGACAGGAAAATTCAGTCTTAGCAGCGGAAATTACGCAAACAGTGTGCTGCAAGAATTTACGTACAGGACCTACACCAATATGCGAACAGAAGTGTTAGCAAAAAAAAAAAAAAAAAAAAACACTCGTTCATTTAAGAAAACACTTGTTTGGGAAAGCGTTTTTTTGAATTGTGGAAAAAAACCAAGTTCCCTTTGACTTTTTTTTTTGCTTTTGATTCTATAATTTTTCTCTTTTTCAAAATTTTATTTCATTTATTGATTGAAATTTATTTTTTGTGTTTCGAATTTTTTTCATTTTTATATTTTTTTAGTAAATTCTTGTAGGAAAATGGAGAGGCGTAATTGCGTTTCTAGAATTTACGAAG